CCCCAAAACCCCAAAACCCCAAAACCCCACGAGTGAGAATCCATTTGAAATAGCTTAGAAAATATAACATATTAATTTGATAATCGGTGTATGGCCTATTCACATGACATAATTTAAAACTTTAAAACTTGAAAGAACCTTCTTTAGTAAATAGTTGGCCTCTCCTTATCTTTGATAATCAATTTCTACAGAGATCGCTCTAACTTTTCTTTTGAATTGAGCATTAAGCATATAAGTAAAATAGTTATTAAATTCAGCACTAGCTTTATAAAATATCTTGCATATCTCCTCTGAATTCAGTGTCAATTTCTCATTAAAATCATCTATATTCTGTTTGCTCTATGGATCAATTTCTTTATTCTCACTTTTTCTCTTGATATTAATCACAGAAGTGTACAAGGGCGGGATATAAAACTTTTTGTGAAAATACTGCACTATTTGATTGAATAAGTAAGTGTTCTTTTCAAATACCTGTCTTAATAACTCCTACTGAACCAGCTCTTAAATGATAAATCTCCCTTCATTTTTATTATACCCTTCATCCTTAGGATTATATCGTAGATTATTAGTAGCATTTACGAAGCAATCAATGCAAAAACTTTAAAGTTCACTCAATTAATGATTGAAATAGTCTTCATTTAGGCTTTATAAGGTCTAATCTATAACCAGTCTTTTAATGTTTGTAGAGATTTATAGTTTTTCAAAGATGTAGTTTTCACATTCAATTAATCTCTCTTCTGAGAAATCTATTAAAACCAAGCCGAATCCTTTTTCAGCCAAAAATTTAGCATAAGCTTAGCCGATCTTTGAACCTGCTCCCAAGATAACAATATATCTCTGATGTCGCATTTTTTTCTGAATTGATCTTTGCTAGGTTGAAGATTGCTAAATAAAAGAGAGAATATTCCACTTCTAATGGTTAAACATCATGTTACTAGCTTTGCTTTTATAATACACGAAAGATAGCAGTCCTAAACTGGCCAAGGAAAGACTCACAGCAGTTTTTGAAAGCACGCTTAACTAACATTTATCAGAATTCATTAGATTTATTTATTATTATATTTATACCATCACTTATTTTTAAGCAAAATGACTAGTGGGGTTTTGGGGTTTTGGGGTTTTGGGG